AAAAAAAAAAAAAAAAAACCACCAATAAAAACATGGAGACATATGATCCCTCCGAAGTCCTTGTGATAGGTGGTTGACTCTGATACTCTTACAGGTATCGATAAAGGAACATACTTGGTCAAGATGCTTTTGCAGTGCCTGAGACACCAGGGTTCCCCTCTCTGAGGGCCTGGCTGTCAGGGCAAGATGAGCAAGCACGTGAAAAAGAAGCTCAAAAAAAGCTATCAAATGGCTGGTGACCTTGAGCAACTCAATGCCCAGTTCTAAGCCTCGGAGACCTCAGACAAGGGGTTCTAGAGTGGATGCCTTTCAGGATCCTTTGAATCTTCTAGAAGGAACATCCTAGAGTAATCACAGCCCCTAGTGAACACACATATTGCTGTCTGACACTGATATTTTGTTCCTGAGCCTTGCAGAAAGGGCTCGGACATGCTCTCTCTGCAGGCCACAGCCAAATGTCCAGCAGAGACCAAAGAGCCTTTCTGTGCCTCAGGGAATTCAAAGGCGGCATTTCACAGGAGGAAGCCCTTTAGAAGTGCTCAACCTGGGGTCTGTTTCGGGACCTCCTCTGAGACCCCACCTCAGGCAGAGGGTCCTCTTCAGGGGGAAGCTCACCTTGGTGCAGGGGGGCATGGTGATGTTCAAGTGGCAGAGAATGTGCTGGGTGTCCTCATACTTCATCGCCTTGCGCAGAAATGACAAGGACCCTCCTGGTTCTCGACTGCTATCCCTCACCTAAATTCAACCGCACCAAAAAAAGGAGATTCAGGAGCCATTCTATAGGCTACCGGGATGGCTGAGAGATTTGTGCCTCCCAAACTTTCTAGACCCAGGCAAGAGGTCAGTACCTTTACGGGAATGGCCAAACGGTTCTCCCTAAATGACTGGAACTGGAAACTCCGCTGCTGGGCAGCTTTTTTGATGGGTACCAGGTTCCCGGAGAGTTCTGCAAACAGAGACATTCCTTCCAAAACCTGTAGGAAAGGAAAAGCGAATACAGCCTGTCAGGTAGGACTGCCCATACATCCTGTCTTGCCTCTCAGCTTTGGTCTTTCCTTCCCCACACCACATCCTTTCTTATGGCATGAGGCACAGTGGATGTGCTCTGAGAAATTCCACTGTTTGCTTTGGAAAAGGTTTTATTTCCCAGGTTATGCTTCCTCACTGAAAAGGATTTTATAATAAGCAGGAACCTTCACATATCCCTGTGTAGTTGATCGGGACTGCTGTCAGAGTACTACTCTAAACTCCACCAGGATATCATAACATGGCATCTGAAAAATACCTGTTTTCACACCTGTCCAAAAATGTTTAGTTTATGAGAAGTGCTAGAAGAACCATGTGATATTTTAATGTCATCCTTAATATAAGGATCCCTACTGTGTATATAATGCTTTCAACTAAGAAGTTATAGAGAACCCATTTGACAGTGGAGGAAACTGAGGCCCAAACCGAATAAATTCTTTGCCTACTTAGTGCAGGGCTTCAGAGCTCTTTCTTCTAGGCCCTCAGTCCCCCACGAAGGCTCAGCACAGACTCTGAGGCCAGACTGTTGGTTCTGGCGTATTACACATCTAACAGGAGTGAGTATCCTGGGATAGTCAATAACAGATTACAATCTAGTCCCCGTTTCTTACTCCTCATATCATTTGTCCAGCCCTCTCCCCTGCATCCTCATCTTGGCACTACCAAAATCCTGGCATAGCGGTCAAGGTGTGGGCTCTGGGGTCAGACTACTTGGACCTTAGTTATGTAACTTTAGGCAGGTTATTCAGTTATGTAACTTTATTTAACACCTCTCGGCCTCAGTTTCCTCATCTATAAATTGAGGATAATAAAAGTACATACAGTTACGAGTTTCAGGTGAGATTATGCTAGTCAAGTACTTTTAATAGTACCTGGTACAGAAGAACTTTAATACACGTGAGCTCTTTTCATCACAAATCACTGGGCTCACAGTGGTGTTCCTCATCTTTGGTGAAACTTCTCTAGGATGCCTTTCAAGATGGGGATCAAAGAGACACAGCCTAGGACCTTCTCCCATGCCCCACCGGGAGGGTTTCCTGACTGCTCTGGGTCACAGCGTCCTGGAGAGAACAGCCTACGAGAGCCCTGTCCTAGCCCCAAGAGCTTTGTTTCACTGTGGAAAGTGAGGAAGGCCCACAGGTGCCCTGTAAGAAAGAGATCCAGGCACTGTACCTCTATGTCCCTGCTCCGGGCCACCTCAACGAAGTTCTCGTGCTGCTCCAGAGTCTTGTCCACTTTATCGTCCGTCATGCAGTAGCAGCGCAGCCGCCCTTCTCGGGGGTCATTCATTTTGGCAAAAATGACAAACTTGGCCATGTAGGGCACCGCGGTAAGCTCGTTGTACAGCAGAGTGGCGAAGTTCACAGCCTCAGCAGTCCGAGGACAGTCTGACAGCCAAAACCTGAAAAGAGAGGACTAATTATAAACATGTTCCTAAATGCCCAATGGACAGCTTCATCTCCATCCAGACAGGAGCAACCTATAACCATGCGAAGGCCACCCTAAGATTCCTGGGGGTCACAGCAGGGCTTGTATGTGGAGAGGGGCAAGGTGCATGCTCGGATTCAAGCCTGAGATGGGCAGGTCAGGACATGAGGATGGCTATCTGCAGGGGCAGCACCGACCCCTCAGTCCAGGGTCCTGGAGCCCCCTTGGCTGGGCTGGGATGCGTCTCACCTGGCAGAGACGTTGGTGGTGAAGGCGGCACACTCATTGGCATACACGAGCTTGGTTGTTCCTGTTATATCTTCCCACTGGGCTTGGTCTGTTCCTCCTGCAACAGAAGCAGAAATGGGCTGGGGGACAGTCTTCAGAACGTGGGCACAGAGCTTGCCAAGACACTAAGGGGTGAGTGGGCAAGGGCAGAGACGGCACATCTGGATGCAGCCCTGAGCACATCTGTTCTCCCACACTCTCCTCCTCCTCCCAGCAACCTGCAGCACCTCTCCTCTAGGGGTCACAGGGCTCTTCCACGGAGGGCATGGACTTGACTCAGCACCTCACCCCTCCACCTCATTAAAGATAAAACCCAGGAGAAGCCAACAAAACCCAGGATGATTGCTAGCTTTACTTTCTCCTATCTCCCCCTCGTGTGGCCAGAAGAATGGCTAAAGACAGGACAGAGAAAAGGGGGCATCTCTCACCAATGACACTGCAGAGCAGGCGCAGGCTGGTGGTGTCTCCCTCCCCACTGTCCCGTGGGTTGTCCGTCCAGGAAGGAGGGAGCGGGATCCGAAGTCCGATGGGGCGGTGGAACTTCCGGCGCCGTGGCTCCACGGTGACAATGGGGCTGAACGTGGCCTGGTTGCCCAGGAGTTTGGTAACTAGCTCATCTGGTACAGGTTGGGCCTGCAAAATGCCACAGAGGGGACACTCAGCCCCAGAACAACAGCGGGGCTCGGGGACAGGAGGCAGCACCATCCCCGAGGGGAGCGCAGGCTGTCAACGCAGAGCGCAAAGACTGCTGGGAGGAGGCGGGGTTCCCACTACTACTCTGGACCCCAGGCCTGGTGTGACTGCTTAGCTCTCCTTTCTGAGCACTTTCTCCCCATTTCCCCGCTGCTCCTCATCCCTGGATGGTGCCATCTTTATTCAGCATTGGGTAACCCTCCAGGAAGCCATGTGGAATCCTCTCATGCCTCATGACTTAATGTGTTATCTGGGGCCTTCTGCAACCCACCCTTTCTTTTGAGCTTTACGGTCAAATCTCTGATAGACATTTTCAGGCATTGGACAAAAGCATGGGGGTATTTCCTGGGGACAAGGGCCATCGTCCTGACAGCCTTGAACTCCTTCCACTTTCCATGCACTCTGAGTGGTGGTGGGGGTGCCACAGTTGGTGAGGAGGAGGGTTGTGTCACCTGAAGAGCCAGCTTCACTCTCTTGGTGACAGCATTTTCTGGGAACGTCGCCTGCACCAGGGGGACCAGCTTGCTCTTCAGAGAGCCCCCTTCAGGGCCGATGGTGTCGTAGTCCTGGCAGAGCCGTGACATGATCACAAAGTACAAGGGGAAGTCCGTGGTGATGATGCGGCAGACCCTCTTCTTCTCCAGCTCTTCCAGACTCCCTAGCTCTGGAATCACATGGCATGGCACCGCCGCCTGGTCACGCTGAGCACAGGCTCAGCCACCACTGTGTCCCAGAGTCCCCGGGGCATGCCCCCTCCCCAGCACCTGGCAGGGGGCTGAGCTGCCTCGAGGGAGAAATCCCCAGGTCCAAAAGGTCAGGCAGAGGGAGATGCAGGTGGCATCTCCAGGTCCAAAAGGTCAGGCAGAGGGAGATGCAGGTAGCCACTCAGATGCCCTAGGGACTGGGAGCTAGACCATCCCTAGTCTCTCAAGGTTCCCCAAACTCCAGGTGGCCTCAACAGCCCACCCAAAAGTAAAACTTCAAATCTCATCTTCTGGAAGGAGGGCACCTGATCTGGGGTCCCTGGGGCTCCGCTACCTTCGTCCATCCCGTTGAGGATCTGATCCAGGTAGCTTTCTCCGTAGCGGCTCTTGTGTTCCTTCCACACGGAGCCATTTTCACTCCGCAGCACCACGAGCTCACGGTCCCCACGGCCATGGGAGGCAAAGTGGGGGATCTCCACAATCACAGGGCTGAGGGGACAGAGCGGATGGTGGGAAGTATGTGGATTTGGTGTGCGTGCCTTGTAGGCAGTGGCCAGGGGCAAAGGGAGGGAAGAGCAGGCCAGAAAGGGCAGTCCGTTCCTGCCTGGAGGGGCAAGGGAGTCCTGCAGCCGCAGTGGGAGCTCAACCTGTGGGCAGGTCCCAACAGTGGTACAGACCTGCCTCAGGTTCCTGAGTCACTGTGGCCCCTGTCACTCACCACCAGGTCCCCATCTCACTTCACAGGGCTGAGACTCGGCCAAATAACCCTGCCCTTGGACCTGATCCTGAGAACAGGCCTGATGTCTCCAGACAGGGGAACAAAACTCTCTGAACCTCAGCTTCCTCCCCTATCAATCAGCAGTAATGACACAGCCTTTGCAAGGAGGCTTTGAGGAGCCTCCTTAAAATGGAAAATGAACGCGAAAGCCTTCTGAAGGCTGCTTTACAAGTGATGGATGAAAGCTCATAGGTGGGGGCAGGCAGTGGATGGAGATGCGAAGGCAGGGTCTCTTGGGTAAGACCTGCACCAGCGTTATAGCCATGGTGCCTGAAGAATAACATAGCTCTAAGTAGAAGCCCAGCTGCCTCAGACAAGGTAAAGAATGGGTCTCCAAAGTCCATTGATCTTGCTGTCCTTGGGGGCAATGCTGTAAAGCTGTCTTCTAGTAAGACTGTTTCAGAGCTGAAATAATTAAACCCTTGGGGGCCCCCAAAGTAGCCCTGTCTTCTCCATCCCTTCTCTAGTGTCATACAAGATTTGAGAGTGTTAAGCTCCACCTGGGCTATGAACTCCTTAGTGTACCGAGGAAAAAATCCTGAAAAGGGGAATGAGAGTTCCGGGTTCTGATCTCATCAGGACAGTAGAGAAATGAGGTGAGGTGGTCTCCAAGGCTCATCTCTCCCTCTGTCCTGTGGCTGCATGGTTCTGGGTGGTTGCTGCTGAGGTGGCAGTAAGGGACCAGCAGGGCTGGGATAGGTGAGGAACACGTTGCACACGTGCACCCAGAGAAAGAGGACTCTCACCTCAAGAACTGGGCCCCCGTGGGCCCCAGTGCAATGATCCTGCTGGCCAGGCCCTCCTCCTTGGCCAGCGGGGGCGGTGTGCTCAGCTTCTGCGGCTTGACCAGGCGGCAGGTGATGCGAGTGGGTGCCGCACACGTCCGAGGTGGGATCACCACCCTCAGGCCATTGTGACGGCTCCCCCTCATAGAGCCTCCCCTGGCATCCACCATGAAGCTCACCAGAAACCTAGGGCACAGGCAGATCCATGTTGGGCTTCTATGTGCTCTCTTTGAGACAAGGAGAGTGGAGCAGCCCAGAATCCCTCTCCTGGGTGTCACTCACCCTGTATGGACGGGGCTGGCCACTGGGCTGATGTTATCTGAGGTCTCCGTGGCCGGGCTACTGGGGATGAGTGAATCTTCATCATACTCTTTAAATGCCTGAGAAGGAGAGAAAGGTCAATTGTCCTATTACCTCTCAGGCCACAGGTGCTGGTCTCAGACCAGCTGATGTTGTGCCAGGCTGGGGAGGCTTGTGCTCACCGCCTCGCCAGAAACCACACGGACCACTGGAAGAAACTCACGTACCACTGACCCTCTCGGGACAAGGCATTCCCGGAGTCTAAAAGGAAGTGCGAGCTTCTTCCTGCCATTAATGGCTGCTCCTCGGCTCAAGACCCTGGACTAGAGTTTAGGAACCAATAGAGCAAGTCCTCACTCCAGTCTGGCTTCGGTCTCAAGTCCTACACCCACTGCTGACGTACCCACCCTGTTCTCCAGCTACATCCCAACTTGAGACCTCTGTTCTAGGTGGCTTGGCTTTTTACACTAGAGTTGGCAACTGACCCTGCACCATCGCTTAAGCTTTGGGTGAGCTACTTGTCCTGTAGGCGTCTGAGGTACATGAGGTGAATGGAATAGATCCTTGCCCTTGGCATGTTTCCCGTTTCCTCATCTGCAAATGAGACAGTCCCCCTGCCTCACAGGAGCGTTACAACCATGATGACATTGGGCTGCCTCACACAGGGCTGTGTCCATCTCAAGGACTCATGAAAGCCAGCAGGGTCTGAATCTGGCTGTGGTCCCCTTCAGGTTTTCTCTCAACTGTGCTCTAGCTCATGCTTTTCCACTGGTGCAGATGCCCTTGCCCCTCCTTTGCTGGTCCACCTGTTCACTTTTCATGTCTTGCCTCCTCTATGAATCTGTCCTGTTGACTCTAATCTGGATAAACTCACAATATTTACCACTCCTGCATTCTGTGCTAACTGGTTTCACGTATCTGAGTCTATTCTTGTCCATTGAACCATCAGCTCCTAGGAGGCAGGTATGGGTCTCATAGCCTGCCATCAAGCCCTGTACAGGGCACATAGTAGGACTTCAGTAAATCCCTGCTGACTTGAGTTCATGACTTAAGTGAGGAGTTGAAGAGAATGGGTTGGTCAAGGAACAGCAGGACGCAGGTCCACTCGGCTGCTTTCTCATCTCTGTCTTTGGCAGTATTCAGGGAGTATGTCTCAGCAGTACCAGATTTATATCTGACCATATCTCTCAAATGCCACCCAGTGAGTGACTCCAACACCCATCCTATGATATACCCAGCATGGAGTGCTGGCTGGCCAGCCTCACAGCTGACTTATCCCTGCACGCCATTTGAGTCCAGGCTATGGCTGCTGAGTTGGGACACACACCCCTTCAAGTGGCAGAGGAAGGGACCAGGCTTCGCTGGGACACAGACATGCATGGCTCGGTTATCAGGCCTCAGGCAGTCATTTCTAACCTCCAAACACCACACTGCTTTCTTTTTTATCCTAGAAAACCCCCTTACCTTAGAAAAAAGTGCTAAATGGTATAAAATTAAACTAAGGGGGAATTAAATTGTTTTAAATCATCCCACCCTTTTTGAGGACAAATTCAGTGGCATCGGGAAAGCTACAAAATAAGGTACGATAATGAATAACAGCCCACACTGGGAACACTCTCTCTGACACCCCCTTTCTATCCATATTGGTATTTTAAGCTCCCAGGAATCCTTTGAGGAAGGTGAGGCAGGGACTGCTCCCCTTTTTAACGTATGCGAAAGAAAAGGAGGGTGGAGTTCCGTGACCTGCCTGCAGCTTCCTGGTAGGTGCAGGTTGCGGTCCCAGGCTCCCTCTCCAGCACCGTAACTCACTGCCCTCTTGGGTGCAGAGAGCATGTGCACAAGGGTTGTGGCCGTGGGAACATGGACCGTGAAGCTGAAACTTCTAGAGTCATTCCCAGTCTCACTCATGACTGGACCAGCGTAATGATGTTTCAAAAGCGGCGAGCTCACAGAGATGCTTATCAGTCATATCTGGGATAATGAGAACACTGGCAGCCCAGGCGCTACAAAGAACACGTGGAATCACAGATCTGCAAGGCTTGGTAAATGCTACAAGCTTTTCAACTTTTAGTTCCTATCGTACGGCAGGTCATCTCAAAGCAATTATTGTCCCAGGGTCCCTGCTCTCTGCAGAAAGGAAAATAAGAGAAATGATGCTTCTTACTTGTTCCAGCTCTTCTGATCTGACCAGCACTGTCTCAGGTGTGACGCATGGAATCCTCGGGATGGCTGGAGATTCCACCCTGTGTTCCAAGAACATTGAGAAATCAAAGAGATGATCCTTCTAAGTAGACCCCATCTTCCACGGGAGGCCTAAGTGAAACACCTCTATAACAGGAAAATAAGAGAAATGATGCTTCTTACTTGTTCCAGCTCTTCTGATCTGACCAGCACTGTCTCAGGTGTGACGCATGGAATCCTCGGGATGGCTGGAGATTCCACCCTGTGTTCCAAGAACATTGAGAAATCAAAGAGATGATCCTTCTAAGTAGACCCCATCTTCCATGGGAGGCCTAAGTGAAACACCTCTGTACTCCTATAACTTACCCAATCTGCCCCATTTACTGCAGCCTGAATCCCCTACTCGCACATGCAATACAATTCAATCTTCACATGCTGACCAGCCTCTTCCCTTCAACTCAAAGCCTCTCCCCAGGGCCCCTGTCCTTCACGACCTCACTGAAGGACGTGCCTCCTCCACAAATCTTCCCCTGCACGCATCACCCCGGTTCTTAGTCTTAGAGCCCTTGCTGATAGAATCCTCACTCTGGCCTTAACACCTTATTCTGCATTGCTATATGACCTCTTGATGTGTGTTTTGATCCTACCAAATAAATCTGTAGGTTCCTTATGATCAGGAGTTGAGTCTTGAATTTCTTTCTAACTGATGTTCATTAAATACTAATTGATTACATATTCTCATCATTTCACTTCCTGTTTGTTTCACTGCCCTGTTTTGTATAAGCCATGGCACTAAGCTGTCACATGTCTGTCTTTTCTGAAAACACCGAGGGCTCAGTGTTTCTACACAGTTGTCACTTTTAGATTTAGTCGCAAAATACCCCTGTGTGCTAATGTACCCACTGCAGAATAACTCACAGCGTCACAGGGAGGAATGAGAAATGTGTTCCGGGCAGATACAGACCCTCTGCGGGTTCCCTCTAATGAGCTATGAGGACGGAGGGGTGTGGTCAGTGTTTGCGTTTAGCTTGGCAACAGTTTCTAAGGTGAATTTTCCTCAGTGGCTTTTTCTGGCAAGAAGCTGAGAGTGCATGAGAGGGAGAGGGGGTGTGCGTATGAGACTGTGAACGAGGGAAGGGAGAAAGGCGGGAGGCAGGGATACCGGAAGAGGAGGGGAGACACTACTGGACAGCATGCTGTAAGAGAGGCCTCCATGCCTCTGCTCGGCAGCCAAGGTACAGAGCTAGTTTCTCCTAAGGTGCTGGACTCATGGTCCAGCCGATGAGCATTCCGTCCCTGTCATTGGCACACCCAGGCCCTGGTCTTCTTGTGTCTTTTCCTTGCTCTGAAATGCGTCTACTCTGAATTCCAGGGCTGGGCCTCGGCCATTCACGGGAGCACTTCTTACACTTGGTCTAGTTTCGGCACAAAATCCAGCAGCTCTTTCTCTTCATCTACATCCCTGGAATCCTTCTCAGCCTTGGAGCCAACAAGTTCTTCCCCTGAAACCACACAAGTTTAAGTGAGTGACACGATGGAGATTTCCTCTTTCTTTTTAAAAAGTGCTTTGCCTGGTCCTCCTCTCAATGTTGAGGAGTGGAGGAAGGTCTCTGATGCTCGGAGGGGATCACTAGCAATGTCTTCAACTCGTCCTATTCGTCCAGCCCTGATATACAGAGCAGGGCAGCCAGCTCCTGACGTCTTAGTCTGTACCAGGCTTTGTAGAAGAAAAAAAAAAAAAAAACAGAAAGAACCTTCTCTGCTTCCACTTTGAACCTTCTCAAATTCCACTTCCAAACAGCCCTTGTAGCATGTGCGTTGACACCAAAGAAAGCGCTGTTTCTATTCTTTTCAACACGCACACCACAGAAGAATAAACTACAATGGAACTGAACCTGTTCATTTTGAAGGGCTGTAGGGTTTTTTTGTAATATGGCAGCTGGAACCTCATTATTTCCTAAGCCCATTACCAAGAGGTTCAAATTATGTCTGCAACCCAGACTGCCTCTTTGCTTCTCCTTCCTTGCTAAACTGGAGTCGGAGCCCTTGACCTTGCAGTGTCATTTACTGTCACTTAGCACTGAGTGTCCTGGCTGTGTGATCTGGAGCTGACAGAATGGAATAACAACAGCTCATGCAGTTATGATCACAAACACAGTGGCATGAGCACAGACACAGAGATGGACAGGCGGGAGCTACCCACCAGGACATGGATCTTATGAGTGTGAATTTCCTGTTTTAGTCAAGCTCCTGCCTCTGTATTGTTAGCTGTCAGAGGAGGGTGCAAAG